TCAGAATGGAAATTCTTAAAAAAATATAAAACTCGTTTTTTCGAACAAAAGTTTCTGAGAAATTTCTCTAGGTCAGCAGGTAGTAACAGGACCACTGACTGCTTTGTTTGAAAAACCCGATGAAGTGGATGATTTTACCCCCAAAAGGTTTTCTTTAACAAAGCAGATGCGGTCCAAATGGCTTTGCTGAGAAGCGTTCGTATTTGAATAGCTTGAAGCTTGAAAGCTTGAGTTGGAAGACTTATTGTTTCCGAAGCAATCAGTCAGACAGCAATAAAATTTGTTATAGATATTTCTCTCTCTCTGTGAGTTCTTGAAATCTTGGAATGGGTGAAAGTTTATTTTGTTTTACATATATAAGGAAACTGCATGTAAATTGTATGTTAATCATTGTACGTCCCCTCAGCTCTTCGGTTGGGTATTAAGAAAAGAAATTCCTATACTGCTTTTGTATTACTTGTATAGTGAAAGATTTGAAAAAAATAGCTTCATATGAAAAGTTTTTCTCCGATGAACGAATACAGCTGAAACATGTTTCTGTCTTCAAGTATATCCACAAAACATGAAATAGTATTGTACTCTTTTGTATTCTATTGCATTTTTATATTACTTCGTGGTAAATTTTTTGGTTCTTAAATTTCTCTCTCTCTTTTCTTATAATACACAAGTACTCTTTCAAATATGGCTGACCTATGAACCTAAATTTTTATACTATAAAATTTTATATGAAAATTAGCCGTAATCATTAGACACAGCTTTGTGTATATTATATTCTTGAATACATGCCTGCAATTAATACTAAGAATACTATTGATAAAATTCGTGATATAATTAATAATGAAAATACTGTTTAAGCTAAAAACCGATTTGAATCTTTTTTTCATTATAGGGTAACATGAGCCAAACAATTTTCGTTAGAAATATACAATTATGCTAACTTGACACATCAGATAGAAAATATTTTATCGTCATCATCGGCTATGATAAAAGATTTTTACGCTTAAGATTTTGGATTATGATAAAGCACACAGGACCTATTTGTCTAAGGGAAAGGAAGTCTTCAGGGTAGATTTTTTTTGTGGGAAACAAACTGTTAATTCACAATCAATTGTACTTATGAAAAACCCCTAAACCTCCCATGCAGCCGCTAGAATTTACCGGTGCTCAGCTATCTTACCGCTTGGAGACTAGTTGGCTTTCTGAACTTACGCAATATCTATCTGAATTTGAATATTTGCATAAAAAACGAGCAAAATAAAATGACACATTGTAAATAGTACATTTTACTGAAATCAAACTTTCTTTGAAAAAGGAAAATTAATTGTAAGGAATAAGATGGATGCATTTAATTAAACGGCGGGCAATAACAGCGCTGATCATATGTTTCGTATAGGAAATCATTTTCTTCGTGTTATCGTATAACGGAAAATATCCACAGATTATATTTTACAGTTTTTAAGAAGTCATGGGTTATCTGCTTTAAGAGAACACCTTCGTGGGCAATTTTCTAAATAAAATTGGCTTGAATTCACGTTACGCATCGGGAAAATCATAAAGACCACAAGCAGCTAAACTGTTCGGTTGCCAACAACAAACTACCAACATCCAGCAATCTTATTCACTCAACTATAGTGAACTTAAACTAATGTTTGTATATTATTAGTAGTATTAAAATAACGAAAATATTTATTCTAATAAAAATTTTTGTTTGAATATCCTCCCTAGTAAGGTATTTCCTTTGGTTGGAGATTTGTCAACAATAAATGCTATGTTTTAAACAAGACATTTATTTAGAGCATAATGCTTCAAAAATGTATGCTGGGATCCCTAGAAAAAAAATATCGCCGGAAAATATATCTCCGAAAAAATATTTAATTATTCATATTCTTATGATTAATTATTAAATAATTAATAACTTTTATAATTATTAAATGAAATGCTTATTTATACTTTACCAAATGTACAGCAACACTCTTTCTTTACAAAAATACCATATTGAATAAATTATATTGTAAGCTAATAAGTAACAACATTGCTTTGTTTAATTAAGATACAATAACAAGCCGAACAAACATTAAATTGGAAGTCAAACAACAAAAATCAGCGTTTATATTTTCAAATTTTCACAATCTAATTTTCATTATATCTTATCTCGTTCATTTGCGCTTTTGCAGCTGAAGATGATGGTTCGGTAAAACCATCGAAACTAGTCCTGTGAAAATTTGAAAATATAACGCTGATTTTTGTTCTTTGACTTCCAAATTAATTGCTTTGTTTGTTATTAATATGTCTCATCTTTCCTATTTCAGATAAAATTTACTAGTGTTTCTTGGACAGGAAAGCAAGAATTTTTAATTTGAATCAATAAATTTATGATACACTGAAAACGGTTTCATGTTATAATTCCCTTTCTGAATATCTTGAATGTATATGAAAAAGTAAAATGCAAATTTAATATTAATATTACCACCCTTAAAAACACCCAAATATTTCGTTTATTACTCTCTTAAAACTACGTAATAATTAAGGAAAAAAAGAAATTATTTAAAATAATTATTAGTTGCCTGCAGTTGAAGAATATAGGAAAATGCAGAAGGTTTTAAAGATTTTTAATTAATGACAAAAATACAGAAAATCGGAAATAATACGAAATGTTTCAGCAATATCTCAGAAGGAATGAAAATTGCACCAGATATTTGTCAGAATATAATTTTAGTGATAGCAGTTTAATCAGTCTGCATTGAAATTCCGGTGATAATCAGTGACATACAGATTTAGGTTACTTAGGTTAAAAATGCGTAATAATTTAAAATTTAACCGGGTAAATTTTAAAACCAATTTATTTGAAAACTATCAGCTTCGCTGCGAGCCTTCGTCTGGCTTTTAAATGTACCGGAAAAATGGCTGAAGGGAACTCCAAACGTTAAATTTAAAAACTGCGTAGGATTTTACTCTGCAGAACAACTTCATAAAAAAAGTTATTACGTATAACAAAATTACAATGAAATAAGCAATGTCCCTTAATACAAATATTAATTATCCTAATAAATAAATTAACCAAATTCCCTTTGCAAAATCTTAAGAACTCAAATGGTATAAAGGAGGTTAATAACTTTGTTTCCTAAAAAAATCAGTCAAAACTTTTCAATATCTTAAAAACAGTGAAATGAGCAATAAATAAAATAAAGGAATGCAAAAAACAAAATATTCTGAAAAGCAAAGTATAATTAATGATATTTTATCTTATGTTTCAAGGGTTATGTTTTCAAGGGAAAAAATTATAATGAAATAAGCTATATCTCTTAATACAAATATTAATTATCCTAATTAAAAAATTAACCAACTTTCCGTAGAAGAACAAAAATCATGCAAAACTTTTCAATATCTTATAAACAGTGAAATAAGCAAAAAAATGACATGAAAGCAACTCAAAAAACATAAAATTCCGCGCAGAATTTTACTCCACAGAACAACTTTATCAAAAAAAAAAAAAAAAAAAAAAAATCAATAAAAATATATTATATTTATATAAAAATGACAATGAAATATGCCAATCTCTTAAAAACAGTGACATAAGAAATACGATGAAAAATTGTTGCCAAACCCATATTTCTAAAAGAATGAAACTATTCAAAATGATGCGATTTCATCAAAAATCTATCAACAACAATAAGACAGGAAAATTGTTGCCAAAATCACATTTTTAAAGATGTGAGATGTGAGAAATGTACTCGGAAGCTTCATTTAAAAAATCTTTTAAAAATACAAAATATTATCATTTTTCCAAAATTCTTTTTGTAAAAGCATTCGCAAGGATGAAAGTTTAACGTGTCCAAAAATCAAAGAAAAATAAACTGTACATTTTTAAAAATAAACTTTTTTAGAAAAAATCCAATTGAAAAAGTGTGTTAAGCTCCCTTTGTTAAATAAATTCGTATTTAATCGATTTATTGAAACACGAAATTTATTTTAAGTTCGTAAAATAGCTAAGTGCCTACGTTTCATGACGATGTGAAAATGGAGTGTGTAGAGTAAAATCTCGCTTTCCTATAGCCCATTATGTTTTAAAATGACACGATTTCGTCACAAAACATGAAATAAAAAAAATTTTCGAATTTCGAAAAAATCGCTTCGAAGTGCACTGGCTCTTGTGTAGATGTACCTATGTACCAAATTTCGTAGCCGTGGGTCTATTAGCTTACGCGCAGCGCGAACGAAAGGCGCACACACACAGACAGACTCTTTCTTTTATTATATGTAGAGAAGATATGTAGAGATAAGATTGTTTAAGGGAAGGAAACTTTCAAGTTTCGCAGCTGTAGCCTGCGGCATTAAGACGATCATCACGGAGAGTCTAGCCTTTTGCAATTCTCTTGAGAGCTCACAGCTACCGAACAATATATAGCAATCAATCTCACTTAGCGGAATCATTGAAGTAAAATTCTGGGAGGGATGGGAAATAACAAAAGAACTGCTTGACAATTTTCAGAGGTTTAGGGTTATTTTCGCGACATTTTACGGAAGTTCGGTCCAAAACTAGTGACAGTTTTAAAGAGATTCGCAGGTAATCACTCGACAGGCTAAGGGTTAACAACCGGTCAGACCTCAAAAAGGCCCTCACAGACTTCTTTGTATCCAAGATTCCTGAGTTTCACCACGATGGCATTGCACAGCTAGCCACTTATTGGCAAAAAGTACTGGATGCTGATTACTTTGAGGTGGTTATTATTTGTTTTATGACTTTTTCTTTCTGACTGTCCAAAATGGCAAGAACTTTTTGGGTTACCTTGTATTATTTTACTTTTTCAGCACTGATATTTTCTCTTTTTGTACTTCTGTGGATTTCTTTAATATTTTATGGAAATAGATTTCCATCTCTCTCCCCCAGAATTCATATATGCTAATATGAAATGCAAAGTTCCTTTTGCTTAAAATTGATTTTGAACTGCATGCTTTTTATTTTTATAATGGATTAAGCCAAAATTATTATAAATACTCACAGCTAAACATGTTTTATCTTCATTAACAGACATGCACCAGATTGGACATCCAGAAGTTACAGAAAGCTGATACTAAAATAAGAAAATTATGATAAGAAAAAAAGAAACAAACAAAACATTTTCTATTGATTTACATAAATTAAATATAACACAGGACATATTTACATGGACAAAAGAAAGATATAGATCAAGTTAAAACTTTGTTAATCTATTTTTAGGAAAAAATATAAAACCGTTTAAGAATAAATCGGGGAGTTCTTATGACTGTACACTATTATTCTCTATCTGTTGTTCTGTTACCTTTTTACAGAAAGATTATTCTTATCATACTGATGGCACAAAGCTACCTAAGCCTGAAGGTAATAGAGCTATAGTTTTGAACTTTTAATTACAATAGCTAACTCTGATAAAGAGTTTTCTACCTCTTCTTTCAGACTAATCCAATTAGTAAAAACTTCATCAAGGTCAGTAAAAATTTTTATAAACTAAATGGCCTGCTTTTCTTTCCGATCTATTTTAAGCTTTTATACATGATATGCACTTTTTTTTAAACTTCCATAGGTAAAAGCCAGACTTTATTTTCAACAGAAAAGTATGATATAATAATGCAGAGAATACATACCTTTGGAATCAAAGTATTTAGATTATGTTCTGCTATATAACCATGCAATCCAGCAGAAAATAAACGGTCATTACACCATGCTAATGTTTCCACTGATGTTGTTGAAGATCCTGGAATCACCTAAAAAAATTATACTTGCTTTTAGAAATATGAATTAAATTCTGGTATAACATAAACATAATTTATTTTATTTCTAGCTAAATACTGATCATCTTATCACAATATCTTTGAGCATATTTACACTGAGTAAAAATTTAACCAACAGATTTATCTGCTCCAAGTTTTTTCAAACATATCTGTGATCAAAAGCAATGAATTGCAAAATCCATCAGTTTTACAAAAATTTCTACTTGTAATATTTTAGTATGAAATAATATTGTACGAAATTCATCAACAAATCATATATAAAAAGAAATTAATGTCATCTCTATAAGGTGACCACTTATACTGAAAACCCAAATTAACTGTTATTATAATATGTAGCATCTCAGCGATGCTTTAATTATTATTGAAAACTGAAATTTCAATAACACTAAAAAGTGATTCAATATTTTTACCACATTAAAAAATTCCATTTTCCAAAAAAGTGATAAAAATAATGAAAGCAAAATACTAGTCAAGTTAAGAAAAATATATTTAAAAATAACATGATATGAAATTACATTTAAAAACAACATACTATAAGATAATTAATAACACAATGCAAAATTAATTTAAAGTGTAAACCTTTTCTAGATATGGATATTTCTTGACATCCCAGATTTCTATGGATGAATCAGCTCTGAAATACAAATAGATATACTTGTTATTTAATGGAAGTAGGTCAACTTCACAAACACTGCTTCAATAATATAAAATAGTGTTCAATACATATTTTAATAATAACATGTTTATAAAATATAAAAATTTAATTAATTCTCTCAGTAATCCATTAAATTTGAAAGATACAGAAAATGTTGTAACAGACTTATTTATGTTATCTGTTTATCTCTTATATGCAAGATGAACAGATAAAAAATAATATTCAATAGATTTAATTAACTGGCCTCTGTGAAACAAACCTTAGCAGGATAAAAAATCTTGAGTTAATCTAAAAACCCGTACAAAAGAGTATTTGTACATTTTAAACAGATTTAAAAAGTAAATATACATATATTCAACAACATTTCATTAACTAAAAAATTAATAGTGTTTAAAATTTTTTAATTTCAATTTTATACTGAAGAAAAATCATGCCATTTTTTCAAAACAATACTGTACATTTCCAAATATATGCTAATCTGTGTATAGATGAAGGATAATTTTTCCCTTAAAAAATTTATCCAAAATTCAAGACCCATAGCTGAAATGAAAAAACTATAATGTTCAAACATGTTACCAGGAGAGCAAAAATAGGTAAAAGTATATTTACGGGTGCCCCTTCGTGATAATTGGCGAAACATGGACACCAAGTTTGTGCAATTCTTTGACTTGTTAATTTGGCTCTTGTAGTGCCAAAAATCGCTGCTACACAGAGACAAAATAAATAATAAACTTCAAATTAATCTTACCACATTCAGCCATTTTACTATGTAAACCACAAAATAACCACCATACTTCCTAAGCCCTTAATCTTTTCACATCATTCAAATTCACCACAATCATGCAACCAATTACATCATAATAGGTTTTCCACAACATTCAACTACTTAGGTTACCATAAATGAAACAACTTCGTGACAATCCAAGGGACACCCTTCAATATAGCTTAATCCAAAAATATTGCTAAGCAGATAAAATGTTGGATTATTTTCCATCAAATTTCTATAAAGCAAAATGCCAGATATCAAAGATTATAATTTTAACTATTAGTACATTTTTTCCATTTATTTTTGTCTTGTATACGATCTTGTGGTATCTGTGCTAGTCTTATTTTCTGTGCCATTTTATTTTTTGCCTAAAAGATGAGCATGAAAAGAAATTCTAATACAGCAAAATTCAAATTACAAGTGATCATGTTTGATGAAAATTCGCTTAGAGTAGATTTAAGGGTGCCCCTTGGATTATCGCTAAGCTGTTGTTTCATTTATGGTATGCTTTGGAAACCCTATTATGACATAATTGGTTGTGTGATTGCGGTGAATTTGAATCATGGGAAAAGATCTGGAAAAACTTGTTTGCATGTCAGATTTTGGATAAGAAGTACGCTGTTATTTTGTGGTTTATACAGTAAAATGGCTGAATATGGTAAGAATAATTTTAAGTTTCTGTGCGATTTGGAATAAAAGGGAAAAAAACATTACTTGACTGGTGTGTAAATGAAGGTTTAATTAGTAGCCATTAGAAGTGTCCTGTTTGTACAAAGAAAATGCATATGGTCATATGTCACAGGATATCTTTTACTCTTATTTTTGTGAATTTATGTGGTGATGCCAGTATACATATTCTAGTTCAGATAATTTCAGGAAGTTTTTGGATGCTGTTAAGGAATTTTGTTTGACTGAAGACACGGAATTGTAAAAGGAAGGTGAATTTTCTTTGTAGTGCAAAGATGATTTCTTTTTTTACGTTATTTCATGTTTGATTTAAAATGTAGTTTATTGAGATTATATATTTTTTTGTTGGGCTGGTCCCTTGACTTTTAATGATATATAGGGGTTTCTAAAAAGAATGCAGGATTTGAAAAGCTGTTATTTTTATTGTTGTTTTGGCAACATTGTTTTTGCATGTTTTGTTATCACTGATCATTGAGGTTATGTTTTGATACTCTGCTTTTGTTTTTCAGGTTAATGTTTGTGGTGTATAGTCATCGAAAGCTACAGTACGGAACAGCGAGTGTTGATTGTGAAAACGTACTACAAAAATGGTGAAAGTTACGCGGAAACTGTTCGAAAAGTCCGTACGATTATGGAACACAACAATGTACTGAATGAATCCACTTTTCGTAGGTTAATCAAGAAAACTGAAAAAAAAAAACCCGGTTTAACAATAGATATAAATAACCCTCGAAGTGGCCGGAGTGAGGCAAATGTTGCTGCTGTGCTTGATTTGGTCACTGTGAGTCCGGGAAAATTATGTCGCCGTTGTGCTCAAGAAATGAACATTTATCCAGCAACAATGTATAGAATCTTAACGAAAGATTTACATTTACACCCGTACAAAATTCAGTTAACAGAGGAATTTAAACCAGCTGATCATGGAAAACGATGACAATTTGTGCAATGGAACCTGAAAAGAACGAATAAGTGATTCACAAAGGCCCCCATTTTCTCAAATGAAGCTCATTCATTTAACACTTTGTGAAAAATAACGGCAAAACGGGATCGAGAATCAGGTATATCACGAAAAAACATGCTCCTCACGAGTTAGGTTTAGCGTGAATGGAGTGGGGGTGAAGGTCCTTATTTTTGGAGTTGTTATCGTGCATGCTCACTAATTTCTTTTGGCCCAGTGGATCAAATAACATCGCAAATTTCTGGTCCAACAAGACAGTGCAACTGCCACACTTCGAGACACTTTGCTCTGCTGCGTGAGAATTCCCCGACAACTATCATTATGAGGAGACCAACCTATCCACTCTATGTGACTTTTCCTATGGGGACCTAAGTCAGAGTTCCAAAAACAAACCCTGTAATATGTTGGAACTCAAACAAGGAATTCAATGGGTTCTCAACGAAGTTGATGGAGAAATGTGTGAGCGAGTGATGGTTAATTTCATGGACAGAACGAAATGTGTCTGTACATGGTGTGTTTTTTCTTGCTTCTTTCAAATAAATAAATTCGATTTATAGTAGATTCAAATCCGGCGTTCTTTTTGAGACACCTGTTAGATTGATATGGACAAAGTCAAGGGAGTGTGCAATGAATAGTTTGTACAATTCTCTGATCAGTGGCATAGCTAGGGTGGGGCAAGGGGAGACATTTGTTCCCAGTTGCAGCATCCAGGGGGTGCCAAATTCATGTTACAAAATTTTTCATTCTTGTCACATAGAAAAGGGTGTAAAATCTTCAGTTGTCCCCAGGTGCTGAAAACCCTAGCTATGCTTCTGTCTGACTTCTTTTAAGTGGAAATAGGTTGATGTGTACATGTATACCGAATTTGTGCAATTCTTTGACTTGTTATTTTGGATTTGTGTAGTGGGGGTGTTTGACGTAAAAATTTCCGCTATACAAAGCCAAAATAACAAGTCAAAGAATTGCACAAACTCAGTCTCCATGTATCACCAATTTTCACCAAGGGGCACCTGTAAATATATTTTTACCAAAAATTCTAACAACAATATGACTGCCTGGCATTTCTCTATAAATGAAAAACAAGTTTAAGAATGCAGAAAGCAAGATGCAAATTTTGCATGTTGACTATGACATACCAAATCATCATTATAAACAATTTTGAAAATAAGAATTTACTAGATGCTTTCATGGTACAACATCCTGATTCGCCGTTTCATACCATGTGATCCCAAGTGATCTCATCTCACGTAAACTACACTACAAAAATTTAATTCTCTCAGTAATTATCTACATTAATTTCAAGTTAAATCTTAATTTGGAATACAAATTTAAATGTAAGAATTATTGCAATTCGTACGAATGCTCTCAGAAATTATGTAAAACCACAGTACTTTACTTCACTAGCGCATTCTCATTAGAACTGATGAATTTAACCCTTGACTTTGCATTTTCTATATTTTCGCCTTCAGATGAGCAATGCGATTGCATCCTAATTGACTAATTACCACGAATAGCCTTAGGGCATAAAATTGAACCATCTGGATAAAAATTCTATGTAATTGTATGCCAGTATTGAAAGAAACAATCAATCTGATAAGAAATGGCTGCGACTTGTTTTGAAAATGAAGCGTAAAAGGTTACCAGCGATAATATTCCATTTGGCTTCGGCTGTACCATTTTTGATGACTATCATTTATGCCGGCAAAATGGAAAAGTACCAATGCTTTTCATAAACTTAAAAAATATTAATTAAAGAAATAAAATTATTATGCAATGAACCTATGTATATACCTATAAATTTTGAGAAATTAGCGGATCTGTATAGAAGCCAAACATCATAATTTAGCTTTAGAAAAAGTTAAAAAAATTCTCAACTTATATACAGAAATACACTCAAAAACACTGAAAATAGACCACCAAGAAAGAAGTACAGGATTGAAATGAAATTTATTACACGTGATGATACAAATGAGAGATTAATGTAATCCTGAAATCAAGACAAACAAATACAGTGTGTACAATTAGACAAATACACCACAAATTCACTAGTGCATCACACTGCTTCCTGCTGCAATATGGTCTGGCATTGAGTTGATTAGACATATGATGTTGTCCTGAGGCAGATAGGCCTATAAACCTTGAACAGACACCTTCAAACCGTGCACAGAAGTGACATTGTGGCATCTGGCATTTCAGATGGTCCCCCACATGGTCTATAATGGGAAGCAGAGTGGCAATGGAAGAGTCTGAACATGATGCAGGAAGTCTTGAGCAACTCAAGCTGTATGCAAGCAAACATTTTGCTAAAAAATTGCCCCTAGAAGACAATTTAGAAAAGGTCTCATGTAGGGTCGAAGAATGTCCAACAATCAGAGTAGACTGGCTATCATAGGCTACGGCTTTCCAAATTATTATGCCTGTGGTGCAGGCAGTTTGCCGTGCAACAGTGTGTGGAATTGTACCTTCAACAGGATGCTTCCACACGCATGCACAGTTATCATGTGTGTCAATATGTGGCATTCCACATTGGCCTGGCTTGGCACCACTGTAGATGTAATTGCTGATGTT